ATCACCCCCTGTCCTATCACTGCAGTCCCTGATGCAGAGTCCCTCTCCAGCATCCTTGTAGCCCCCTTCAGACACTGGAAGCTGCTCTGAGTTGTCCACGCAGCTTCTCTTCTCCAGGCTCTTTCTCCTATGCCCTCCATGTCCCAGTGCCTCCTTGCTTCTGCTTTTTCAGGTGACCCACACCACCCTTTCCATCAGCAGACCTGGGTGCAGTAGTGGCACTGATCCCCTGTGCTTGAATTAAGCATCCTGTTGGCAGCATCTCTTCTGCACAGCAGTGAGCATGTGGGGGGACAGGTATTAATCCCTGCCCCACACACAGGTTCATCAGGGCCATGATCCTCACTGTGTTTTATCACTGTTTTGTCATTCACTGCAGCTAAAAAAGGGGAACAAAAATCTTCCAGGCCCTGGAGAGGGTGCGCTTTGTACTCACTGCATGGTGGGGCCACTGCGCAGTGCATGGGGGGGTTCCTATGCCCATGCCCCAACTGATTCACACCAACAGAAAAGCCAGCCCCAGCAGGGGCAATGAATGGATGGATAACCACCTGCTGAAGAGGAAAGTGCTGAGACAACTCATAGGTGCCATGGCAATTCCTATCCTTTCTTTGATCTCAGCTATATCTTTGTGCTGCGTATAGAAAGCAAAGAGAAGAACAACAAACCTTTCTGCTACGGCAGTGGCTGACTCAAATTCACTTTCCTGCTCTGTGATGGGAACAGAGGATCGAACCCCAGTCTGCATTAATGGAAAAACAAACAAAATCAGAAGTTCATCAGTGATGAAAGTTGCATTTCCAGCCAAGTATTTATTTGCTTTTGCCTCTAAAGAGCCTCTCTATGCATTGCATAGGAGCCTGTTGGAAGCACCTCCAGTAGAAGTCTTTGGTCAATTTGTTTAAACTCTTATCACGGTAAACAGCAGGATTAAACAGTGTATCACCCACTTGGCCTCATCCCCATCTCCTCACTTGTTCCCATGTCAGAACCTGGGAAAACTCATGGCAGTTTGTTCCAGAGCTCACCAGATTCAGGCACTGTTAGTCCAAGGTTTGGAAGAGAGCTCCTGGAGACTGATTTGAATGAGCACAGACAGAGCCCTTAGACGCTCTTAGCTGTTGGTCCTGAACTCAGAGAGGATTTCCAGGATCCGAGTTGTTCAAGGGACTTACCAGAACTCTTTAGTTCCTCTGTACCTGCTCCACTCCTCCAAGTCACTTGGCCTTCAGGCAAAACCATTTCTTGCTCCACATGCACCCTTCAAACAGCTTGGCCTGGGTGGCCAAAGGGCAATGAGACCAGCCAGCCAAGGAGGTGCAACTGCAGCATCCTTCCAGCGCCTGTTACTGATTCAAAGTGTGCACTGAACAAGGGAGTCGCAGGGAAAGCTCTGTGTGAACTGGTAGCCATGGATGGCACACACACTGGCCCGCTGTTTTGTCTCTATTAGCAACTTTGCTTTAGGAGCTCTCTAGATCTACAAGCTCCACAGCTCAGCCTGCGGAAAGTACCTTCACATTATTCCCGTCACCCTGCGTCCCCCTCATCAGTGATGCCTGGCGTTGAGCTGTGCATGCGCTGCAAGCCCTTGCACGTGTGGGAATCCCCAGTGCACACAATGCATCTGGGTGTGTATTTTAAGCCTGGAAAGAACAGAGCAATGTGGGGCTTTTTATTTTTCTGGCAGAAGCTGTACCAGCCAGAGCTGCAGGGAAAACACAGCGCTGACTGGGTAATACTGCACTGGATAGCAGAGCACTGACTGGGTAACACTGCACTGACTGGGTAACACTGCACTGACTGGGTAATACTGCACTGGGTAACACTGCACTGACTGGGTAACACTGCACTGACTGGGTAACACTGCACTGACTGGGTAATACAGCACTGGATAACACTGCACTGACTGGGTAACACTGCACTGGATAACACTGCACTGACTGGGTAACACTGCACTGACTGGGTAACACAGCGCTGACTGGGTAACACAGCGCTGACTGGGTAACACAGTGCTGACTGGGTAATACAGCACTGGGTAACACAGCGCTGACTGGGTAATACTGCACTGGATAGCAGAGCACTGACTGGGTAATACAGCACTGGATAGCAGAGCACTGACTGGGTAACACTGCACTGACTGGGTAACACAGCGCTGACTGGGTAATACAGCACTGGATAGCAGAGCACTGACTGGGTAAGACAGCACTGGATAGCAGAGCACTGACTGGGTAATACAGCACTGGATAGCAGAGCACTGACTGGGTAATACAGCACTGGATAGCAGAGCACTGACTGGGTAATACAGCACTGGATAGAAGAGCACTGACAGACATCACCAGGGCTGTTTATGTCCCCCAAATTAACAGCATGTTTGAAAGTAAAACTTGGGTCTCCACTAACTCTGCTTTCTCATTTCACCTCGGGTCTCCTGCAAGCTAAACAGCACCCAGCTTCATTTGCACTGGGTCCTGTCCTCAGTACATCCCTTGGGCTCTCCAGTGTCTTGTGCTATGTAGGAGGGGACATGGCTTAGCCAGACAACCCGAGGGGCTGCAGCAGGGTTCGGCACACACTGATATTGCTAAGGCCAGCAATGGAGGATGGACTGGGGATGCGGGGATGCAGGGTTTCATGGTGTGCAGCCACACTGCTCCCCCATGAGCCATCCCTTCCCCCTGGCACAGACTACAGGAGGCTGGATACAGCTCACACAGCAAAACCAGCTGGGAAAAGCCGCTACTTCTGACCCTGGTTTGGTGTTAGGGATGCCAAGACAGGGTGGGAATGACACTGCATTTTCCTTTCCTGGAGCGCCAGGCTGCCTATGCCATGGCTCAGCTGAGGCGCCGCAGGTCTGAGGAGAGACAAAGTCAGTCTGTTCTGCCACAGGCTCGGTGCCAGGCTCACAGACCCATTGCTGCTGCAACGATCGTGCCTCCTTCCCCAGTCCAACCGCACCTCTGTGCCACTCAAGCACCGCAGGGCATGGCAGGAAGGGGGGCACAGACTGTCCCACAGAGCCCCCCATTGCCCTTGCTGGGCCGGCTGCCCTCAGCAGTGCTCTGCCTGTCTGGGAGCTGCAGGATGGGAGCACATCTACGGGGTTTTGCAGCACCACAGCAGCAACACGGACTGAAGAGCTCAGGTGAGGCTAAGCCTGAATCAGAGCAATGTTACCCTCAAAATGTCACTCTCCACTTTCAGATTTCGAGCAGACTCAGTACTCAATAGTCCCCTTTGTGCAAAGCCAGTGTTTTCATCCAAAGCTATGAATTTCCTAGGGAGCAATACTAAGGCCAAAACTCTGTAGACATTTGGACACTGTCTGACTTCTTACCAGGAACATCTCCATACATAATTGCATTCCCATGCAATATGGGGAGCCTTCCTGTCACACAGGCAGCAGGAAGCACATGTGGGTCTGCCTGGTATCACCTGTTTAGCATCTCCAATGGCACAGAAGCAAGGAATGGTTGGGATTGGAGAAGACCTTAAAGATTGTGCAGTTCCAATCCCCTGCCACGGGCAGGGACCCCTTCCACTGGAGCAGCTTGCTCCAAGCCCCTGTGTCCAACCTGGCCTTGAGCACTGCCAGGGATGGGGCAGCCACAGCTTCTCTGGGCACCCTGTGCCAGCGCCTCAGCACCCTCACAGGGAAGAGCTTCTGCCTTAGATCTAACCTGAACTTGCCCTGTTTCAGTTTGAACCCATCACCCCTTGTCCTGTGGCTGCAGTCCCTGATGAAGAGTCCCTCTCCAGCATCCTTGTAGTCCCCTTCAGACACTGGAAACTGCTCTGAGGTCTCCACGCAGCTTCTCTTCTCCAGGCTGAACAACCCCACCATGATCATGAATCAGCAACGTCAACCCCATTCATAGCCTATTGCACACCCGCTGCCGAGCGCCACCTGGAGGCAAACTCTGTCCTTCACCAATGTAGAGGGAATGGTGCCTGGAGAGCCAGGGTAACAAATGGCTCTAACTGCTCCGAGTCAAATATTCAGCAAAGATTCAGGTGGCTGTTGCTCTGAATACACGTTGTAGTAGAGACAGATAGTTCACGTTTGGCTGGTTGGGGCAGGCTGAAACCTGTTCAGGAACATACGTTTAAACTTAATAAGGTAACTCTAGGCTAAAAGCAGAATACAGCTCTTCTGCTAAAATAGCAAAAAAAACCCCTCCTGACATTGTGGTTTTAAGAAATTGAGGAAGAAAACACAGAGGAAACCAAAAGTTTAAGATGGAGATCACTTACATGACAGACTTCTGCTCTTTCCCACAAACCTTTTTTTTTTCCCTATCTGGTAGCTGATGCCTTCTCCAATTGCATTCTCCTTAAAGCAGGGAAACAACCCAAACCCTTGCCTTGCAGTCCTACACCCCAAAAGGCAGGCATCCAATGATTTCAGAGTATTACAAACCATTTTGCAGAGAGGCAATCAGTAAGATCCTCTTAAACAAGGAACCCTGGAAGGAGTCTGATCTAAACATCACATAAGCACCTTAAACACAAAACACACATTGCAAATGCTTTAAAAGACAAACCCTGCTTGCCTTAGTGGCCCTCAGAACAATTGTCATGTCTAACTCACCTTGTCCATTGCTGGTTTATAATCAGCCACACTTCGATCAGGATTTCAACAGGAAGAGGTTTGCATTCTGCAAGTCCTAAACAAGTGCTTTTGTACCACAAGTGGGCCCACACTCGTGTGACTTTCAGTTAGCAGTAATTAAGGCATGAAAGGGACATGAAGCACCCCACATCATCCATCTCCCAGACTGGGAGCAGCTGAGCAAGGAAACTAAACTGACAATTGTGTGCTGCTCTTCTTTATTCAGTGAGAAACATGAGAGATGCAATTGAACAACCTGCCTTTATCACCTCCAAGAGATGACAATGGTGCATACAAAAGGTCTTTGAGAATTGCCCTGTATTCATCCCATGCAGCTTTAGAACACTCTGCTGGCTTCTCGAACTTTGCAACACCAAAGCTCCACTTTAAAACAAGATGGGCATTGACTTTATTAATTAACCCATAAATAACAGTTTCTGCAATATCATATTTCAGTTTCTCAATCTATATCTGAAGAAAGTTCCGAAGTTTGGGGAATACTTTCAGTGCGTTCCGTGTAGTGACTTCTATAACTTCTTCAACTGGAATTCCTTTAATTCTGGCAACGTATTCTGCAGCAATGTAGATATTTTTTGGTTCATTTCTCACCTGAAAACAACCACCAAACAGGAACAAAATTACAGATCCCTACAGAATACAGGTCTTTCAGATTCAGTATGTCCTGGCACAACTGTGACACCTATACACGTATCTTCTTGGGTTATTCTTCCCTCTGCCCATTCCTGAATTACTTCCCCTTCCTCAGGCACACTGAATTGCTCATCTCAAAACATTCTCTTTCACCCTCTGTACCCATGCTTACACTACATCACTCTCCCGTGCCAGTAACTGACCTCCTTGAGGAGTGGGTTTGGATATACATACATAGAATTTCTTGCTCCCCATCATTTACCTGTTTTTCAGGCCCCAGAGCAGGAGAGTCAGTTTCCAAGCACATATTCTCCAGTGGTAACAGCTTCACAAGCTTCTGCTTCTTGAAGAAAGTAAGACAACTGTTAAACACCTCATGCACTTAGAGCTGTGGGGGAAGATGTATGAAGGGAGGCTACTTTTTGTGTTTAAAAGCAACATCAAAAGACCTTGGTGCCACTGTCTACTTTTATCAGGCATTTCAGAATGGAAGCAAGAATGCCAGGAACTGCTCAAGAAATCCTTCCAAATTAGGATTATCCTGTTTTCTAAATAGCTGAACTATTATCTAAACACTGAATCCATTGTTATTACATCATGTAGTTATACTGCACAATACACCTTAGAGTTGCCAATGCAATTTTACTTAGCTAGTTTTCTGTATGTATATATATTTCTGTGGCTTCTTCTCATGTCTGTTTTACCCCTCAGCCCCACTTTGCTTTCCTTTCTCCTCCTAACCCTACCCCCATCTATATCCATCCCTCACCCCCATCTCTGCTTCAATCCTGCCTTTTCCTTACACTTCCTGAGCTTATCACAGAAAGCAATGATGGTGCAGGATGGAAACAGACTGCTCCAAAATCAGAAGTCAGCACAGCCTGTGGCAGCTCAGAGTATAAATTAAAAGAGCAGCCTCACAAAACCAAGGGCTGAACCTGACCAATGCTGACTGTAAGTGATTTAGCTGTGTCTTTCCTGGGCACACTTGGTGATACAGTTCTTCCAGGGTCCGTAACTTAGCCAACTGTGAGCAGATTTCCTTTTGAACAGAAAGTGCTGGGACACAAACTAGTTCTTTTCCACATCATGTCCTGCTCTAGGACAGTACAGTTACAGAAGCTTCTGAAGAAAAGTTCACCAGAAACCACATGAAAATGAGGAAAAAAATCACCTATTTTCTCAATCCTTGTTTCTCAGGAATAGCTGAACTGGTTTAGCCAACTTTTCCCCCAAAAAGTCAGCTACGGCAAAAATCCCAGGCAGAAATTGAGCCAAAGTAAAAATGAGCAACACTAAGAACTGAAACTTCTATTGAGAAGTGTCAGGTGACAGCAACCAAAGCGAGTACTGCCAGTCCCACTTCGAACTGTAGACTTCAACAGGCATGTTCTTGAGCTGTCACATTTGCCATCATGACAAGCTGTCAGGTATTACCTGCAATGCAAGCAGCAAACCCCTTTAAACGTTACCTGTTCACTCCTTATAATGGAAGGAGGAATGGAGAAGAAGTATCCAGCTTTCACCCCTTCCATTGCAGCAGATGGCTTTCCATCAAAGGCATGGAGCAACACCTTGGTAGCACCTTGGAGAAGAGAAGCAAATCAAACCATCAGCAGGGTTTACAGTAGGTCTGCAACATCAGCTTCCAACGGGATCTCAGTCCCATAAGGAATGGACATCAAATCTCTGCACTGTTCCTCCTAAGTTTAATGTACACAAACTGATCTGAGGACATGGCACAACAGAAGAAACAATGCTAACAAAAGCCATGACAGAGAAAACTCCTTAAAAACATACCTTGTTCCTTTAAGAGGTTAATGGTCGGTCTTCCAGCTGAGCGGGAATGAACATTTCTGCACAGCAAGGAGATAAGGCATTAGGAAACTCAGCAAAATACTTTTTTTTGGACAAAACACAAATAAACAGCAGCAGCTTGGGATGAAAATAACTACTCTGTAGTACACCTTTATCAGGAGAAAAAAACACAAATCATTTTAGCTACAGTGAAGATGCAGCAACAACATAGCAAGGGCAGGACATAGAAGATGACTGTATTCAAGTGGAAACACAGGGAAAGTTCTATAATTGAATATCAGACTGGAGGCAGCCAGGACACTAATGCCAGTTTAATCCATAATTATAAATCCTGGGAAATATTTCCTCATGTTACTGAAATCTGGCAAATTCTCATACCAGTATAAATACCACCTACAAAGGCAAATCCAGTCTTCTCGCTATCTCAATCTGCTTGATCAAAACCTGTCTTTGTCCTTCCTTCTGTTCATCCGTGCTGGCAAATCTGGGAGTGAAATCTAGTCCAACCTACAGTACGAGAAGTGAAAACCTTTAACAGACCTAGCATTTGACTAAACCACAATACCACATATAAAGGCAGCAAATGCTTCAAACCCACAGGCATTTCAAAACATATATATTAGAGACTGCAATTAAAATGAGCTCAACTGCAGCTGAACTCAGAAAGAAATCCATCCTCAGCCATAAGCTTCTCAACTGTGAAAGCACTTGTGAGCAAATAAGTAAGCCTCTCCAGTACCAACACACAAAAGGCTGACTCTACCCTGGAGCTTTCAAGCCTCAGTTTATAAACAAATGTAAAGACAAGAGACAACATATGGATACAGACAAGAAGGATCACAAGAAAAACGGACTGTACAGGCTAGTGAGGTGTAGTGCAGTCATAGCTCAGCCTAACTTCATCAGGGAAGAAGGAAGGCAGGATCTGAATGAGGGTAACAACGTGACTTGACACTTCACAGTATCAGAGAACAGGTCCAAAGACATTTGGGTGTAAGGCAATATAGCATGATTATGCAACCTTCCTATGAAATCCACCAGCATAAATGTCATCTATTTCCTAATAATGACAAAGAAGGAAAAGAGGGGAACAGCAAAACTGTGAAGGAAAGCACATTAAGAGAATTACAAATCAGACTTAGTGCTTGTTCAGACTGACAGCAACACTTACTGCATACACAAAACCAGGTATTCACTAAGTTTTTGTAATTCTGGTGACAGATGGAACCACACAATGGTTTGGGTTAGGGTTAGGGAAGGGACTAAAGCAGGCTGCTCCAAGCCCCTGTGTCCAACCTGGCCTTGAACACTGCCAGGGATGGGGCAGCCACAGCTTCTCTGGGCACCCTGTGCCAGCGCCTCAGCACCCTCACAGGGAAGAGCTTCTGCCTTAGATCTAACCTGAACTTGCCCTCTTTCAGTTTGAACCCATCACCCCTTGTCCTGTCGCTGCAGTCCCTGATGAAGAGTCCCTCTCTTCATTCAATGCCAAAGACGCTGCCAAAGTCACACACATTTAGACAAGTTACGGGATTTTACTTACTTCCCCAATCCCCACCAGTTTATCTTTGTAGAGTTCTATAAGTGGCAATGCAGCATCCAGATCCTGCAAGAACAAATCACAGATGCAACCCTCACTGCCCTTACCAGATAGAAGGGTTTTGAACTCAGCAAACTCTTATGATTAAATTGGAGTTCCCTTCATCAAGCTTAAACTCTGTACCTTAAAACTTGCTATTACTGGGAGTTGTGTGGTCAGATTCCAGAAACCTGCAGGATTTCCCTTCTTTACATTGTGACCCTTTACTTCAAGTCATCCTTCTATAGGAGCAGCAGTAATTAAAATAAAGGCTGCAACAGCTCCTCAGGTTTTTCAGGCTAAGGGCACGAACCATTGCCTTCCACTTCCCATGCTAACAAAGGGACATCTGCAAACACACGGGTGCTGTTCACTGTAAGCAAAGCACTCACCTGGGACTTCTACAGCCTGTTTTACTACAGTAACACGGCCAGATGCCTGCAGTGAACAATTCTGCCTTAGGGCTAACGCAGACAAACGGATGTGCTAAGAGACCCTGGGATTCGCTCTGCTGGGTCTTTTGTATTACAGACGAGCAAGAAAAATCACTGGGCAGATCTAAGTTAAATCAGGCAAACCGGAGCACTCCATCATCTGCCCTGAGCGGTCCCGGCTGTATTCTGCAGCCGAGCTGACTATGTGTGGTTTACCTTCAATGTAACGCTGCGCTGCTCCTCTGGTGAAACCTCCTGAACCGGGTGAACTCCCAGGCACGGGAAAACAAACCCTGGGAATCTAGGCATGGAATGCGTGAGAGAGACTGCACAGAAAGCGCGTTTACAGCCAACATGGCCTGACCAAAGAAGAGGGCAGCGAGTCCCCCATCAGCTCCCATTGGGGTGGGGGGACACAGCGGGAAGGGTTCTAGGACGCGGAAGGGAGGGGGGGCTCCGGGACACGATGTGAGCTCCAAGCCTCCCCTCCCGCCTCGCACCTCTCCGACAGCGCCAGGACGCTCGGGAACTCCGCCGCCTGCTCCGACACCACGACGAGGGCCGACACCGCCGCCTGCAGCACAAAGAAACCCCCGCGCCGTTGAGGCGAGGCCGGGCCGGGGCCTGGGGCCGCGGGTCGCTGCCGGGCTCCTCACCTGCTGTGCCGCCCGCACCACGTCCGCCACGTCCTGCAAGAGACACGCACCGCCTCAGCGACAGGGCCAGGGCCGGGGCCGGCACCGCAGCCACCCGCCCGTCCGCGCCTCACCGCCTGGAAGCAGGGCGCGGCGAGGTGGCAGTGGCAGTCCAGCGGCCCCGCCGCCATGCCGCGCCTCGGGCGGGGCGGAAGAGGCGGGGGGGCCGCGGGTTCTGCTTCCGGGCCGGCATTTCCCTCCGTGCTAGGCGGGAAATGGCGGCCCCAGCGCCGGTGCTGAGCCCGGGCCCCGGCGGGCGGGACGCGCGGGTGCGGTGCTGCTTGCGGCGCGGGCTGGCCGAGGCGATGGAGCTCTGCGCGCCCTTCCTGCGGGCCCTGGAGCAGGGGCAGCCGGGCGGGCCCGCCACCGCGGGGGATGCGCTCTGGGTGAGGCTGGGGGGGAGCGGCCTGGCCCAGCGACACCGCGTCTCGAATGCTGGCAGAGGCCCGGCACCAGGCTGAGGTGTTCGCGTTAGCTTAACGGGTTTGTGTTTGCTACGAGAGGGACATGGAGGTGCTGGAGCGGGGCCAGAGAAGGGCAACGGAGCTGGGGCAGGGCCTGGAGCCCAAGTGTGATGGGGAAGGGCTGAGGGACCTGGGGGGTTCAGGCTGGAGAAGAGAAGGCTCAAGGGAGACCTGATGGCTGCCTACAACTGCCTGAGAGGAGGATGGAGCCAGGAGGGGCTGGGCTCTGCTCCCAAGGAACAAGGGATGGGACAAGAGGAACCGGCCTCAAGCTGCACCAGGGCAGGTTTAGATGGAGCTGAGGAACAATTCCTGCCCCAGAGGGTGCTCAGGCATTGGAAGAGGTTGCCCAGGGCAGGGCTGCAGTCACCGTCCCTGCAAGTGTTCACACAGTGTGGAGATGAGGCCTCAGTGCCATGGGTTAGTGGTGGCCTTGGCAGTGCTGGGCAACGGTTGGAGCAGATGAGCTTGAAGCGCTTTTCCAACCCGGTTGAATCTATGGTTCTACCCAGCTGAGCCACAAACACGGCTGTTCACCCTGGCAGGGCTGACGTGGGCAGGGCAGCGAGGCTTGAGCAGCCTTTCCAGCGGCAGGCATCATGTACATGGAGGATGCTTCCTAAAGCCTCCTTCCTGGGGAGGGCTCCTGGAGAAGCTGAAGGAGGGTTTCTCAAGCTCTCCTCTATCTTGCAGAACTTCAAAACAGCGGTGCAGGAGAATGTCACCATCAATGGGCAGCCCTGGGATGAGACTCAAGATGACTCCAAGCCACAGAGTGGTATGTGTGTGTTTCCATTCATCTCCTGCTGGGTGGGTTTGTTTTGGTTTCTGCTTGTGGTTTGTTGAATTGGGCAGTGGTTGTAAGGTTGCTTACGGAGCAGGGGAGGTCCAACTCCAGCTCATATGTGCCTGTGTAAAGATGTTTAGTGTCGCACTGTGCGAGCATGATTCTTGCAGAGCAGTGCTTATAAATGAAAATAAGAGTTATCAAGATGTTTAGGGACCTGTATCCAAGAGAAAAGAGACAGGCAAAGTGCTTTATGTGAAGGACTGTTGCTTGTTTGACACTTCTCTCAAGATCCTTATCGATCTTGAGGCACAAGCTCCAGCTATCACTAATATGGTGCTTACATAACTTAAAGGATTTGCTCTTGACTACCACAGAAAAGTAGCATATAGACTGTCCCAAAGTAGTTGACGTTAACATGGGGGAAAATAAAGGTTTATCTAAGTTTAATGGCAGCAGGCTTGTTGGAAAGTCTTCAGCAAGCTTTTCAGAAGTTGGCGTTTCGTAGCAAGACTTTTCATTTGGGAGGTTAGGAAAGAGCATGTTCTATTTCATCAGTTTCTCCTATCAGAATAAAGGTAATTTACAAAATTTAACAAAATGGGGTAAGGTGACCTATTTTAAAGCTAGAACACAGCAATAGATCCAAGTCCAGTGACCTCCCATCCTCTCTGGACAGTCAGTTTCTGTGTTTGACAGTTCCTGTTGGAATTCTAGTTACTGCAATATATCTATTGCCTCTCATCCGCCTGTTGCACATCTCTTGAGAGAAGGGCCTGCCTCTGTCCTCTCTAGAAACACCCTTTAGGTATCTGAGGATAGCAGTTAAGTCACCCCTTAGCTGAACTTACAGGCTGAGCAAACCCAGCTCCCTCAGCTGCTTGTCATACATTGTCTGCTCCAGATGCCAGTCTTTTTGCTGCTTGGAATTGTTGCCGTACGCAGTGACACTGTCTCCCAGAGCATCCAAGCTAGGATGTTATGGCTTAGCAGGTGGGAACTGTGGCTGGATCATTGAGCTCAGAGGGTAGTGTTCAGTGGTTCATACTTTTACCTCGGGACTGATGACAAGCAGAGTTTCTCAGGTGTCTGTTCTGGGACCCATTCTTGTTAGTGCCTATCCCAAGACCTGAAAAAGGAGATGGAAAGTGCCTTCACCCTGTTTGCAGGTGTCATCAGCCATGGTGGGGTGCAGTGAATATGCTCAAGGGCAGCCCCATTCAGTAGAATATAAACAGGCTGGAGAAATGCATCTGGGAATCTCATAAAATACAGCAGGACAAAAGCAAAGCCCAAAACCTGCAGAGGTGTGGGATGAAAAGGACCTGCGGGTGCTGGCGGGCTAACCATGAGCCAACTTAGTATATTGTTTCAGCAGGAGTGTAGTCAGTAGGTACAAAAAAGTGGTTATTTGCCTTTACTCTGCATGTGCTGGAGCACATCTGGACTACTACACTCAGTTTAGGACCCACCCCCAGTACAGGAAAGTTGTTGATAAGCTGGAGTGAGTTCATCAGAGGCTGCCAGGTGGCCAGAGGACTGGAGCACTTGCACTGTGAGTTGAGACTGAAGGAACCGACTTCTTGAGCCCAAAGAAGACAAGCCAGCCTTCCAGTACCCACAGGGAGGTTACTGAGAACACAGAGCCAGGCTGTTTATAGAGGTGTGCAGTGGGGGAACAAAAGGCAAGGCTCACACTGAAAGGGGAGATTCTGACTTGATGTAAGCAAGTAAAAACTCACATCAGGGTAACTGAGCATTGGAAAAGGTTGCTCAGAGAGCTTTTGCAGTCGCCAGCACTGGAGGCTTCCAATAACCAGCTGGACAAAAGTGTTTGGAGCAACCTGGTTTGAACTGGGAGTTGACTGCTGTGAGCAGGAGGCTTGAGTCACAAGAGCCTTCCCGAGGGCCCTTATAGCCTGAGGGACCTTGTGCTGGGGACACTGGCCAAGATCTCTTTGTGTCAAAAGAACCTAGTAGTATGCCTGTTGCTGCTATTTAATATACAAATTAAGCAAGTGGCTAAAATTACTGCTATTTATATCTAACATATATACTATGTTTATATTTACTGTCTTTTGAATAATAATAGTAGAGATTCTTGGTAGTCTGGTGTCCAGAGAAAGCTTCAATACCATTCGTTTGCTTCCTCCGTTAGCATTAGGTATTCTTTGCCTGCAACTTGATGCTTTTTACAGTTGCACAAAGCTGAAAATACAGATATGTTGAACTGGCTGTGGAGAGGGAGCTCCTTGAACTCTTTTGGTTAGGAAGCTTCTGCAGTTGTAGTTGTAGAATGATAAAACACCAATTCCTTTGACTATGAGGTCAAAAATGCATTGATCTTGTGATGCAAAATGCCAAAATGATTCAGGCTCACTTCACTAATTCGGATTTGTCCAAAAAATTCTCAACAGGGTTTTCTTAACAGGAAAACTTTGTCCAGATAGATGTTATTTTCAGTAAGTTCTCCTTTGTCTGTACAAGTCTAACTTAATGTCAGCTGAGATACTGCCACCTTCCTGCAGTTGGTGTAAGGACTGTATTGTGCTTTTCAGTTTCACTTAAATTTACTCATGTGCCTGCCTATCTCTGATCCAGTTGGAATCACTCAGTGATCTGGCATTTTGAGCCTCCAGTATTTACAGTGACCAGTGGCTCAAACGCTTCCTCTCTGTACTTGAATGATTTCATGGTGATCCTAAACCAAACAAACCCACAAACTCTTAAAACCTTGAGTTTTCCTTTCTGAGGTTTACAGTCACCTGAGTCTGCAGGGGTTGACCCAGAGAAGGTGCTCAGAATCAGTCTTTACCATAGGTGGAAAACGTTGCATGGCATGCAAGTTGTGCTCAAGACATTAGTGGGAACAGTGAATATATCTTCAGTAGGGTAGGAGTAGTGAAAACACCAATTGAAAGCTGAACATATATTCTAGGTACTGAATCTTGAGAGTGGAAAAGCAAGTTACGAAAGTTAGGGCCTACCACATAGAGTCTCTTGGGCCTCTGATTTTGAAAGCAGATATGTTTTGGGTTTATGCAAATCCTTCCAACTAGGAGTTACAGGTGTCATCAGGATGCAGAGTATTTCCAGGAGCTGTGTTTCATTGTCATGTTCAACTGCATGTTTGTGCTCTATATGAAATACAATCAGGTGGCTTCAAATGACTCTTTGGATAGTTGGTGTTTGCATAATGCTTGTAGTTTACACAGATAAACCATTTTTCTTGCTGCATCTTGTGTTGCTTTTCTTCACTTGGAAAACAAGTTCCTTCAAAAAAGAGCAATTTCTTTGTGAGACATTCTTCATATCTTCAGAGTTCATAAAGAAATAGGGGTTTGATTTTTTCCCCAGGTGATTCTCTACCTCCCCATGCCCCATGTTGTGCTTCCATTACTGTATTGCCTTGCAAAGCAGATAAAAGACATATTTCTCTCTTCATTGATAGTTATGCATGGTTTCTTATTGCAGATCTAAAACTCTCTTTTTGTTAAGACTTTGTCTCAAAAATAAGAAAACCAACAAAAACGTAGAATTCCTACAATAACTTGGTGTGTTTGTCAATTTTAGGTTCCAACATTAAAATTCTTGAAGATGAATTTGATAAACTAATAGTAGTGACAACAACCAAGCGTAAGCAATGGCCTAGAAAGATACTGATTCATGCTATCCAAGCTGTGAAAGCAGAGCAGGAGTTGTTGGTGAGTATCCTATGATTTTCAGAAAACCTTTGCATATACTAGCTGCTGATCATCTGGAACTTAAAAAATAACCTTGACCTTTAAGCTTCTTCCCATAGTTGCTCTGGATTCTTTGCATTATAGTGAAATTCAGTTCTTTGCATTAGTTGGCTCTTTGGTAAAGTGAGGGTTACTACAAACCATTGTGACTGTGAGTGAACTG